GGAGAAGAAAAAGCAGTGGTTAAATATTGCTGTGGTCACAATATTGAGATTTGGATTGCTCATTAGAAGAGCTGATTTCCTTAATGTATTATTAAGTTAGAGGGTGTTCTCCAGACATAGTTCTATAGCTGAGGTAGACTTTTTTTTCACTGAGAAACTTTGATGACAAGATCAACTTGATTTAATGAAGTAATAGATGTAGAGTCAATGTGCATACAAACGTGCAGATTTCCCAATGTACATCTTCTCTTTAAAATCTGTAGTTTCCGTAACACAGAATGGTGGCCAGGGGAGATGAAAGGAACATAAAATGATTAAAACCAGTAGACAGCAGCGGTGGAATCATTGCCCTGCAGACAGGACTGTTACAATTTTCTACAGAAAAATATATTCCAAGGCTGGAGCTGATATTCCAGTTCCTACTTAGTTGAAAACACCAATAAGCGTGTTTTATGAATGCTGACCTGTTAAGAATGTGTGGGGGAAGTTACTGTGCAAGCTCTTCTCTCACCAACTTCTTTTCAGTACTCCATGTGGAGCAATGGTTCTTCCTGGAAAACAAATGTCCTTCATTTGAAGATGCTGTAGAGCTTTGAGCCAAATGTTAGACTTCTCCTTTCATGTTATAAATCCAGAAGCAATTGTTGTCATAATGCAAGCAAACGCCATAGAATGGTTTGGGTTGGAAGGGACCTTAAAGATCATTTAGTTCCAACCCTCTGCCATGGGCAGGGACACCTCCCACCAGCCCAGGTTGCTCAAAGCCTCATCCAGCCTGGCCTTGAACCCCTCCAGGGATGGGGCATCCACAGCTTCTCTGGGCAACTTGGGCAAGATAAAGATAGGGTTGGGTTTCTGGGCTGCAAGTGAACATTGCTGGCTCATGTTCAGCTCCTCATCAGCCAAGACCCCCATGTGCTTCTCCTCAGGGCTGTTCTCAATCCATTCTCCTCCCAGCCTGTATTTGTGCTTGGGATTGCCCTGACCCACGTGCAGGACCTCGCTTGGCCTTGTTGAACTCCATGAGGTTCTTATGGGCCTGCTACTCCAGCCTGTCCAGGTCCCTCTGGATGATGGCATCCCGTCCCTCCAGTGTGTCAGCTGCACCACAGCTTGGTGTTGTCAGCAAACTTGCTGAGGGTACACTCAATCCTACTGTTCATGTCTCCCACAAAAATGTTAAACAACACTGGTCCCACTACCAAACCCTGCACAACACCACTCATCATGGGTCTCCACCTGGACGTTGAGCCATTGACCACAACTCTTTGAGTGCGGCCATCCAGCCCATTCCTTATCCAGCGAGTGGTCCCTCCATCAAATCCATATCTCTCCAATTTAGAGATGAGGATGTTGTGTGGGACAGTGTCAAAGGCTTTGCACAAGTCCAGGTAGATGATGTCAGTTGCCCTTCCCTTATTCACCAATACTGTGACCCCGATGTTGAAGGCCACCAAATTTGTCAGGCAAGATTTGCCCTTAATGAAGCCATGGTGGCTGCCACAAGTTACCTCCTTATTTTCCATGTGCCTTAGTGTAGTTCCCAGGAGGATTTGCTCCATGATCTTGCCAGGCACAGAGGTGATACTGACCAGTCTGTAGTTGCCCGGATCTTCCTTTTATCCCTTTTTAAAAATGGGGGCTATGTTTCCTCTTTTCCAGTCAACGGGAACTTCACTTGACTGCTATGACTTCTCAAATATGACAGTTTACAGCTTGGCAACTTAACCCGCCATTTCCCTCAGGATCCACGGGTGCATCTCATCAAGTCCTGTGGATTCGTGCACCTTCAGGTTCTTCAGATGGTCTCGCACCTGATCTTCTCCTACAGTGGGCAGTTCTTCATTCTCCCAGTCGCTGCCTTTGCCTTCTGCAGCTTGGGTGGTGTGGCTTGGAGCACTTGCTAGTGAAGACTGAGGTGAAGAAATTATGGGGTACCTCAGCCCTCTCCATATCCTGGGTAACCAGGGCTCCCGTTTCCTTCCGGAGGAGGCCCACATTTTCCCTAGTCTTTCTTTTATCACCGACGTACCTATAGAAGTTCTTCTTGTTGCCCTTGCTTCTTCTTGTCCCTGGCCAGACTTAATTCTATCAGGGCTTTGGCTTTCCTAACCTGATCCCTGACTGCTCAGACAGTTTCTCTGTGTTCCCCATAAATAAGTTACGGGATGTAATGTTAAGCCACTTGTATGCTTATTTGCACGTTTTACTTTGTTTTTTTCCAAGGGACTGGAAGCACAGCCAATATTTAGATCCACCTGGGGTCTGGTAACTTGTAGCAAGCTCAACCAATAATGTTAGCAGTTTGCTAGTATGCTTTGGTCAGCAGTATAAAAATAAGTATTTTATTTCAATTTTGTGTTCTCACAAGAAAGGAGTACAATGAGTGGTGAGGGTTACCTTGTTCCGTGCATAGACTGTGTAGTCTGGGAAACATCAATGGAATAATTTGTAAGTCTGCAGCATCTTAACTGCTGCCAAGATTCAGAAATTTTAATAAATACTTTTGCTAGCAGTTTCTGAAGAGTGCTTCCCTTCAGTGAGAAGAGATCAAATGCAGTGCGTGTGATGCTGGTGCTTTCATAGTGTTATGTTTGTGAAGGGAAAGGAGATGTGGGCGGCATGTTGGCTCCTTTCAGGTAGAATTAAAGGTCTGTGCAAAACCAGAGGGCTAAAAATGACCTTGGACGTCCAGTCTAATATTGCTGCAAAAATTACTTTCAAACTGGTTTTCTTTAAATATAATCTTGCTAAGAGCAGTGGAGTGAAATATGAAGTTTGTAGTCACATCTCTGCCCTGGGGACGGGGATGCTGGAAGTCAGAGGAGCAGAAATAGCTGTGCAGAGATGCCCTATAGTCACAGGGAAAGGCAGCACCATTTAATCCTGCCTTCCATTCTGCTCTCAGTCTCTTCCTTCACCTTTTTTGGAGCTTGGCCATACATTTTTCTTCCGTGACATCTAGAAGCCTGTAATTAATACAGCTCTTCTTTCTCTCGCCAGCTACCCTTTCCCCCACCTTCCATCCTTCCTGCGGAAAGCTTACCTGGCTGGGTTTCCCCCTGGCAGCTCAGCTGTGCCAGCAGTCTAACTTATCCACCACCCTTCCATAGGTGTCCTTGGCACAGAAGGAAAAATCTAGTGATGAACGTATTTTGCCCCAACATATTGTGTAGCAACATGTAGTGGCCTTAGTGAAGTTATTAGCAGTATCTTACCTTTTATGTTTTGTACGGTTCTGCATTCAGGTTTATGAAAACAAACATGCAAGCTTTCCTCCTTTTTGCATGAAATACAAGGCAAAGCGGTACAAAAATCCTCAGCAACAGAAATCACGCTTTCCCAGGCTCGGCTATACTCATGTATTTATGTTGCAGATGACTGATGCGATGGCTAAAGCTGATGTATTGTCCCATGCAGACAGGGTTGCTGGCTCATGGCTCCCTGGAGCTGGTCGGTGGGAATCTTAGCCGCCAGGCAGTCCAAGCTGCCAAGATTCTCAGCATTTCCAAGGGTGTTTGCCAAATTGTCTCCGCCGGGGTTTTACGCGGTCAAAGCTGATAGCTTTTTCGCTGAGGTAGCAGTTAAAGGCTTGGAGGTATTTTTAGGAAAATGAGCCAATTGGTTCTCTTGCAGTTGGCAGGTTAAGTGTTCTAGTTTAAGAAAAAAGTTCTGGGTACATCTTCTTACGAAGGGGGAAAGAATGCGTGACTAATTTTTGTAACAGTGATAATTCCTATGCAAAATCATGATGAAAATAAGCAGCAGACTTCCTAGTTACAATAAATCCTGTGGTGTGTCACGGTCTTACGGGCTGTTTAAAATACAGTGTCTTTTTTAACTGGGATTTTTAACTTATTCTGTTAGTTTTCTGGGTTTTTTTCAATTCCTAATTCATTTATAAAGGCTTACAGCTTGCAAGGGGAAGGAGGGGAGAATTTGGGCACTTTCCCATGGGAAAGTAAATAGAGCTTCCTGAAAAGAAGATTTTTTTTTTTCTTTTTTTTTCCCCCTAAATCTAGTCATTTTCTTAATCATTATTTTCATACTTAACATAAGGCAGAATTTTATCAGCATTTACTTATGTATGTGAAGTGTTATGTGTTTTTTAATGTACAGTTTGTAAAGTTCAAGAGGGTTCAGTTTTTTCCTAGTGAATACAAATGAAGTTACACTGAGTTAAAGCTGAATTACATCTGCTTAACTAGACCAGGATAATTAATTTTTGAGAGAATCACTGCCTCATTGGGTCATTTTTTTGGAGCCTTGGGGAAAAGGGTCCACATCTCTCAGAACTTCACAACACCTGACAGAGAGACCAAAGCTTTCTTTTGCAGGCTGTATCTCTGCTTGTAACGTGGTGAACAAGGACTAGATTTTGGGAGAGGCGGCAATGTCGCTGGCTGCTGCGTGCGTTCGTGGCTAACTAAAATACCAGTATTTCAGGTTATACTAGGTTCTTCATAAAAACACCTCTCTTCAGCCGTCAAGTCTCTTTTTCACTTCTCAGGATTGGGTGGGAATTGGTTATTATTGGAAGTAGCAAAAATGGTATGTAAATTGTAGCATTTGAGGTGTACATTAGCATACAAGAGGGATGACGAGCACTTGCTGGTGTGGGAAAGTTTTGTATTGCGTGTCACTTCCCTGTTGCCACCCATTAATACACCAGGCTTTGCTCATGTGAAACAGAAGGCTTTTAATTACTGCTGGTTTTCTTCCTGTCTATATAGAGAACTTGCTCATAAAAACATAAGTTGAATTTTTAATTAGGAAAAACCTTCATAGAAAGTCCTTACAAAAAATAAGAAGCTTACTTTTTTAGAGGAGTGGAAAGGGACGGGTGGAAAGGAAAATCCTTCAGAGATCAGAATTTCCTTTTTATTTAAAAAAGTAATTGGAATTTTTTTCCATGAAGCATTTCTGACTATTTTTTTAAAAGTCTTCCATAGAATCCTTTTATACTTGCTTAAGAAAATCCCAAAACTTTTCTTTTTCAGAATTTTGACCCCAACCAGTAGTTTCCAAGATATTTGGACCCTCTATAACTTTCTCATAAGCAGTGAGGTATGAAGTTTTCTTTGATGTTTTGTCAGATACTCTACCGTTACAGGTTTTTTTATTTAAAGTAGCTATGAAGTTAGCTGTCTCATCACTGTGTTTCTGCTAAGCTACAATTTTCAAGGTTTGATTATTTACTGGGCGTTGGACATAAAAATATATTTTTGGTTGGCACCTACCAAAAGTTACTAGAATCTCTGCCGTTATTTGACTTCCTGAGCACTCATTAGTTGTGAATGATGTGCTGTTTAGAGTAGAGAGCCTTGAAGCTGAAGTCACCAAAACGTCCCTAACCTGGTAATTTTAAGAACAAGAGTACGTTGTGTTATTATAGACTGGTTTGGGCTGGAAGGGACCTCAAAGATCTAGTTCCACAGGGACACCTCCCACTAGCCCAGGTTGCTCAAAGCCTCATCCAGCCTGGCCTTGACCCCCTCCAGGGATGGGGCATCCACAGCTTCTCTGGGCAACCTGGGCCACTGCCTCACCACCCGCACAGGAAAACGTTTCTTCCTAGTATCTCATCTAAATCTCCCCTCTTTCAGCTTAAACCAATTCCCCCTCATCCTATCCCTCCACCCCTGATCACAGTCCCCCCCCCATCTCTCCTGTAGCCCCCTTTCAGCACTGGAAGCTGCTCTAAGGTCTCCCTGGAGCCTTCTCTTCTCCAGGCTGAACAACCCCAACTCTCTCAGCCTGTCCTCGTACAGGAGGTGCTCCAGCCTCTGACCATCCTCATGGCCTCCTCTGGACTCGCTCCGACAGGTCCATGTCCTTCTTGGACGCTGGGGGGCCCAGAGCTGGATGCAGCACTGTGGGGTGGAGGGGGTCTCACCAGAGCAGAGCAGTTCTACAGAGAATATTGGCTGGAGTTCAGAGAAAAAAGGCTAAATTGAAATGACTCGTTATTCATGAAGTTTTAACTAATTTGTGCTGAAAGATTTTAAGAAGAGAAATTGAAATAAATGTTTGCAGTATAATAGAGGTATTTTTCCATTTAGTATACTATGTATTTCAGATTTATAGTCCTCTCCTATACAGGGAAATATATTTGGGTTTTGGGCCTGTACATATATTTATGGATTTAACACAAGTCAGAACTTACTTCATTTGTTATGGAGCTATAGGGGAAATTAAGAGGGGAGGAAGAATTATTTAAGGTCTTTTAGATTTGTGCAGAAATTGTTAGAAAATGGAGCTGGAGTGATACCTGTCACTCCCATTATATATAGTCATGGTTGTTAATTTGTAGTATTTAATTTTATGATGTATAGCATGACTTTTATGTACTACTTCAACTTGAGAGCCTGGTAGGTAATGTGTAAACCATATCTGTTATACCCGCTGTGTAATTTTAATTGATATGTGATACTTGGTAAATTCCTATGTTCATTCTTTGTTCTTTGTTTTAGATAAATAACAGTATAAAATTCACTGCTGAGGAGCTTTATGAGTGTGTTTCACAAGAGAGATACCGGTAAGCCAATTACTGACCACATCAGATGGGGTTTGAGACGGCATTTTAGCATGTGCTCTGTTAACCCAAGTACCATGAGAGAAATCATTTGGATAAATAAAAAAATCACCACTGTAGGAGGAGCATAGAAAAGATGAGTGGGGATGTTTTGTTTTTTAATGACCTACTATTGCAACAGAGTAGGGAAGGACAGAAATTAAATTAGAGATGAGCCATTAGCATCTGCACAGTGATTTTCAGCTGTTTGACTTTGAGGTGAGACGTTGGTCCTTCTTTCCTCTACCACTTCTCAATTCATGGCTCAGTGGCAGACAGAGCCAGTATAGGTCAGTGCTCATTGTAAGGTAGGTTAGAGCATAAGACTGCATTTAAATGGATTTCATTATAACTGGAATTCTGGTTTGGTGAGGTATTTCTTGTAACAGAACTCATTATTATGAAAACTTTGCTTAACTCAGCGGAGGAAAAAACCCTGCGATTCTCAAGGCTATTCAAGTGATTGAACTGTGCCGTGAAAACCGGGCAGACCTGCAGTTGCTGTACTGCATTGTGGCCATCGTTATTAAAGTCGTAAATTAAGCCATTATATGTTACTAGGGCATTTGTAAGTACAGTTAGAAAAAAAGGAGAAACAAATGCAAGGTTCCAAGTACTTGTTTCCATTTCAGGAGGCTTTTTTACCATTCAGTCAGAAGAAAATAAATGTTCTGTTGTACAGCTGAGTTAATGGCCTTGAGAACATTAATCTAAAAATGAGTGTCATGCAAGCCTGACTGTTCTTTACGGTAAAGTTTCTGGCTCATAAAAGGTTTCTTTCTGAATTTGTGTAATTGAGGGCTTGTAAATCAGGTTCTGTGAGGTTTTTAAAATGCCATAATAGGTTTTTTAGTAAATTTTAAGTGGATGATAAAAGACAGGTAAATATTTTCTTTGATACTGCTGTTACATGAATTAGCTGTAACTTGCCAGGATACGAAGCGTGGTTCCATCAGCTGTGTAAAAGGCTTGCAGATTGTTTTAATCTGAGTAGGCAAATTATTCTAAAAATGTTTCCTTTGCCTGGATTGCTACTGATTTCCTAAATCATCTGTGAATTTGAAAGTGCAAATTGCTTGGTCGGGGAGAAAGTTACGCAGGGAGGGAGAGGTTCAATCTGTGTATCAGTAGCAAAAAGTTGTTTAGAAGCTTAACTGTCTTGGGTTGATGACCAGCGCTTCTGTAGCTCTCACATTTTCAAACCTTTGTGGACATCTCCATCCTTGTCTGTATAAAATCTACAGCGTACAGAAAACCTTTGGTGTCATGCTAAGGGTAGCAAGGGAACTGCAGTTTATTGATGTTTGAAAGATGTCCCTAGGTCCATGTTTTATCAGAAAGCCTGAAAACGTGGACCGTTGTGGTGAGTTCTGTGTGCCACAGTAGATTTCACAGCCAAAACAAGCTTTCTCACCAGAACTTTGATTTTCTGGATGAGCAGTACAGGGTGAGGGTGATGTTTTTGTTACATGTGAGTTATGTCCTTTGAAAACACACAAAGCAAATGAAGCACAGATTAAGATCTGTTGCTTATAAATACAATCCACAAATTTTCAAAATACTACTTACGTCTAATTGTTGTTCTCAGTTATTGCAGCAATGAAACTGTTTGGTATAACAGAACTGAAATAAAATATGACTCCACTCCATAAAGCAGAGGTTCTAAATGAAGTTTTAAAAGCACTCAATTAAAAAGAGATGTTGCGAGAGCAAAGGCACAGGAAAGGAGACTGCTTTAAGGCAGGCTGAATTACTTGTGCTTTGGCAGAAACATGCTGAACAAAGTGTTTCCCCTTGCTTCAATTGCCAGCGAACATTTTTACTTCAACCTAGCCTCTGAATTCTTGGGGAGATAAATTTCTGTCCAGAATATTTGTACTCTCGACTGTTCCTTTCTCAGGATACACCAAGGATGCTCTTGTCTTAAGATTTTGATCCAAAGGTTTTCTCCTTATCTGGAGAAGGAAAGGACTACTTGGAGCGAAATACCCAAAGCTACCTGTACAATTCTCGCTGCTTTCCTATCCCTAAGTGGTGCTGTAGGCTTTGGTGTCACAGCAGCATTTAGAAGAGTCCAGCCAAGGACTGGATGGGGAAGCACTCTGGATTAGGGAGCAGAGGGACAGGACGAGGGGTAACAATTTTAAACTGAAAGAGGGGAGATTTAGATGAGATATTAGGAAGAAATGTTTCCCTGTGCGGGTGGTGAGGCAGTGGGCCAGGTTGCCCAGAGAAGCTGTGGATGCCCCATCCCTGGAGGGGTTCAAGGCCAGGCTGGATGAGGCTTTGGGCAACCTGGGCTGGTGGGAGGTGTCCCTGCCTGTGGCAGGGGGGTGGGACTCGATGGTCTTTAAGGTCCCTCCCAACCCAAACCATTCTGTGGTTTTATGACTAGGGTCCAGATCTATATGATATAAATGGAACAAAAAGACTGACCCTGCCCCAAAGATCCACTGTAACATTTTTTTGCATCTTCAACAAATTCACAAAGTAAGTTGTTCCATCAGAAACTCTTACATGAGTGTGAGCCCCTTCTCCCCAGGGGGACTGAAGGGGAATTCTTGCATCTCTTGCACATCATGCTTGTACAAGCAAGGACATAAAAATCTGTGCTAATTGTTCAAAATAACAATTTTCATGCATGCACGAGGTGATTTTTTAAACTCTTAGACTTCAGCTGCCTTATCTGTGGTTGATTTTTTTCTTTCTTCTCCAAGTGCAATAGCAAATATGTTTGCAAAATACTCCAGCTTAAGTATAGAAAGGAGGATTTTTATTTTCTTGCTGTTTACCATTGAACCAATTTACCACCTAATTCCAAGTTCAAATATTAAAACGAGCAGGTATTTTGGCAATTTTACTGCTGAAAAAAGGCAAACTGTGCAGGAAGTCTGGTCAACAGTGTGAGCAAATAAAAATGCAGCACAACTGCAGTGGTTCAGTGTCTGCACAGGAATTTTGTGAAACTAGATATGGGGAAACAACATCCTGGATAGGTCTCTGGAAAATGGAAGCTTTGTTGCAGTCTTTCAGAAGAATGTTGACATGGGAAGGGTTTTTCATGTGTTGAACTAGAGTGGCTGCTATTTAAAAATGAGACACCGTTTGCCAGCCTGCGGTATGTTCCAGACCAGGAATCGCTGCGGTTACTGTAAACACGTGCTTAGGGGTTTTTTTGCTTCCAAAAAATGTTTCTTATAGTACTTTTTACTCAGTGCAGGTGTCCCATATTGAATATGTGACCGTAAGTCCCTTTAGGAGTAGACAATTTAAATTATATTTAACTTGTGGGAGCGTAACTGTGTAAAATACTTTCTCTGATTGGTGACACTCTGCAGATTATCAGAAGAATTACGGATGTCAGGCAGTGTGGGAGGAGGAGGAGTAGCTGCATCCAGTAAAGACTGAAGTCAGATCATCCCCAAAGCCTAAAATTAGCTTCTGACTGTTTTAAGTGTGGATAGAACTTGTTTCTATCTGCAGCACATAAATGTACAGGAAATGTATAGTTGACTTGCAGTTTAAACACATTCAGTAGAAAACAATCATGTTTTATATTTGAAGGCTCAGTTCTGTGTTGAGAAGACTGAACTAGTGTTTGCTGTGTGGCTCTCAGATTGTTCCTTCTCAAAGATGTCACTGCAGGATGCAACAGCGGTTAGCCAGCTCTGTCATAAACTTGGTGTTTTGTTATAGAGGGACAAATACATCTGGAGTGTCAGAGGTGCCGAGTATTCTCTGGTTTTGACAGTTGGAGCTTTGTAATAGAATCCCCTTGGGTTTTTGTTTTAAAGGAACATACTGAAAGATTGCTGTCTATAAAATGGGTCCATTGTGTCCCGCTAACCTTTGTATCTTCTCTTCCCAGGGAAAGGTTAGAAGTTGGATGTTGCCAGCTGGCCCAGCTGGAACACACCATTAAGCAGTGTCACGCATCGGTTCACGCGGAAGCCAAGAACAGGGGCTGGCTGTGACACTTGGGTCAAGGTTTGGAGCTGCAGTGCGCACCCTCTGTGTCTTCCTTGTCCAACAAAGTCTAACTTCCCTGTGGTGTGTGGGGGGGAAATATGCGAGGAGCCAGAAATCTGCTGCCTTTTTTCTCGATGGTGCTGTTTTGTATTTGAGTTGAAGGAAAAACACCCCATTACATATGTATATTAAATGTCAGAATTTCTGCGAAGAACCAGAAGCTAATAGAATTTTCTGTCTCGACGGAGGGTCTCTGGATTGCTACAGCTGGTGTTCTGAATTCCAAACGTTTGTGTTAGGAGCTAGGTCTGTTCACGGCTGCATAGGAAAATCCATGTTAATGTATTTGTTTTGCTGGTACTTGAGAAGTGACGAGTGAGAAAAAGGAATCTTGTGCTACCTGGGTGTCTGGAAGGACTGAGAGGAGCCAAATACAAAGTCAGACACCTGTGATGCTCGCTACCCCTGCGGACATGAAGGACTAAAATGCAGGTGTAATGTATGTATCCTGTGTAGTGCACAATATAAGGCTTAAGAAAGGATACAGAGGGGGGAAGAAACAGATTGAGGTTAATTTAAAAAAAAAAACCAAAAACAAAACCCAAAAAGCCACCCTCATGGGGGTGTGTTTGTCCTGGACCCCTTTTCAGAGGAAAGTGATGTTTTTCCTTTGTTAAAATATACTCTTAATCTTCATACAGCAGAAACCTGCTAGAAACTTTTTGGAAAACTCCTCATCCTTCTCTTTTGCAATCTTGCAACGGCATGAGCAGTTTTCCACTCTGTGGGTTATCCTCCATGACTCATCTGATCTCTGCTCTCCAGGCGCTGTCTCTCTTTGACTGTACTGTTTGTTCCTTTCCACAACCCCTTCAAGTTCATGAAACTTTCTAAAAGCCATTCTGAATGCAACTGTGGCCTTGAAAGCTACCTCTTCGATGTATGTATTTGTACAGAGACAAGATGTCTGGCAAAGTTCTAGAAGTGTTTATTTTGATATTAACTTTTGGATGTATTTGTAAAATCTTTATTGTAAAAAGCTAATTTATTGTTCTAGTAAATGGCAGTTAATTCTACACCAGAGTGTTGCTTTGAAGAGCTCTGTTCTCACTGAACCTAACTGCTGTGGGTCCAAGTTTAATGCAGTTCTTGTCCCCAGACACTCGAAAGTCAGAGAGAAGGGAGGGGTAGTTACTGTTAGAGCAAAATTCATTTATAGGGATATTTCCATTCAAGTTGTTGTCCCACAGCTGGAGAATACGTACTTTATGCTTAAATAAGCTGATGTTGGCAATCTGTATCACAAATCTAGGAAGCTGGATTAATTTAAGCACATGATGGCTGTTGGTCTTAGCTCACATCTACTTTTGATAAACTTTAGGGGAAGACAGTTGACAGAGATTAAGACAAGTAATTTATATTTTCTCATACCGACTCTCCCTGTTAAGTGCCCCCAACGTTACAACTTGGAGTAATCAGTAAATGTCTTTGGTCAGATGTTTCCCAACTCCAGTGTAAACAGGGAGTGGTCTGC